GTGCTTTGGGGGTGAGGGAAGCTCAGGAGAACCTGGGGAACCTTTTAGAGCCCGGTCACTCTCCTCTCTGGAGCCAGAGTCACGCTCTCACTCTGTGGGTCCCAGTTCTCTCTCATGCTCTAGCGTCCCATATGCACCAGGAACATTCCTTCCCAACTTTGTTGAACTTCTGAATATTCAAGTGTCAGCTCAGAGCTTTCCTTGGCCCCTCCTCTGGAGTCCTGTCACCCCCATGCCATCCTCTCACAGTACCTACAACATCTATCATCCCCTCACCACCCAGAAGGCAGGAGACAGGGGCTTCTCCTCGCTGCATGCCCAGGGTCTGGCAGAGGGAGTCTAGAGAGGATGGAAGGCTGAGGGCCGCTGGGGGTTTGGACTGAGCCCAGGACTGGGGGTGGAGGCTGGATCTGGCCGAGTGGATCCTGTTCCTTTAATAGTTGCTGGCCTGACCCGGCTTGGGCTCCTGCTTTACCTCCTGTTCTACTGTGACTGCAGCTGCTGTGCTGACTCATGTGTCCTGGCAGCCAGCAAGAGCTGGGAGCATGGGCTTCCCAGGGGCCCTGTCACGCTGGGGTCTTCTGGATTACAAAACTGAGAAGTATGTGATGACCAGGAACTGGCGGGTGGGCATCCTGCAAAGGCTACTGCAGCTCGGGGTCGTGGTCTACGTAGTAGGGTAAGAGAATGGCTCATAGCCATGCTGGAGGGACCATGACTGGTCCTGCTGGGTTGCGGGTTGCGGGTTGATTTTTCAGGGGCTAGACTGATGGTAGTGGAGTGGGGCAGGTTGGAACAGGGTAGCAGGTAGGCAGAAGGAAGGATTTCTGTCTGTCTAGAGGCCAGCGAGTACAAGAGCAAGCTGTGAGCTTGTGTCCTCCAATGAGCTCACCTGCCTATTTTCCTGGGCCTTACGCCCAGCCCCACTTTGGGCTCTGCGCACAAAGCAGGGTGAACCCCACCCCTGCCCAGGAGGCCCTAGGTGGGGCAGGAGGTAGTCCCTGACACTTGTGAGAGCTGGAGCAATAAGGCCCTGATAGAGAGAGACCACCAGTTCTAGCTGGGTCATGGGGGTCTTTAAGGAAGAAGCTGGGTCTAGCCCGGTCAGGGGGAGGGTGTCGGTGGGTGAAGGAGGTGGTAGTGGACGTTTCCAAGTCCATGGGTGCCTGATAAGAGACACCCATGAGAGCACTGGCTCTCTGATGAATGGCCTGTGCTTCTGGCCTATGCGGGGTGTTTGGGCTGAAAAATTAGGGAGAGGAGGCAGGGGCCTTGAGCCACCACTGGGAGCCTATAGGGTGTGAGGAAGAGAGGCTGAGCAGGTAGGACCCAGCTCTGCCACCACTCACCATGCGCTGGGGACACACCACATGGCCCATCACCTCCTTCTTAGGTGGGCCCTCCTCGTCAAGAAAGGCTACCAGGAGCAGGACCTGGATCCACAGATTTCTGTTATCACCAAACTCAAAGGGGTTTCTGTGACCCAGATCAAGGACCTGGGGAATCGGCTGTGGGATGTGGCTGACTTCGTGAAGCCGGCACAGGTGAGTACCTCGGCGCTGCTGCCAGGCACTGACACCTCTGATACCACCCTTGCAGTGAGTGTGCGTGAGAGAGGCATGTGATGCCAGAGGAAGGTGCTGGCACTGTCACAAGGCCAAGTTTGGAAAGAGTCCTACAGAAGAGTGACACCTGGACAGGACAGGGCTATTAGGGATGTGTAAGAGGTTTCCAGGTGAATAAAGAGACAGGTCAGGAAGCCAGGCCAGGGGAACTATGTTCACAAAGATTGCATCTGGAGAAGAGTGGGATACCTGAGAACTCAAGACTTGAACTAGAGGGTGGGGTGGGAGGGTCATGGGGGACCAGGGCCTGGAGCTTTCTGAATGCTCCCTTCCCTGACCTGGGGAACTGCTGTCATGCCCTCCTTCTCTGCCCCTCCCACACTACATTTCTAGCCCCTTCCCTTTCCACCCAGGTTACCCACAGCCTGTTTCTACCTCTGTCCTACTGATGCCCAAATTGTAGCCCTGGTGACCACCTGGGTGCACACCCACCACATCCAAAGAGAAATTATCTCCCTCTCCCAGTGTGGCCTCTTTTAATCCACCAGTGCCAAAGCTGGACACAGCTCGTCACTTTCCTGTCCCTCCCCCCTGCCCTTTCCATCACCTAACAGTTTTCACTGCTGCCCATGCCATACCTGGATGAGGCTGTGGTCTTCTAGTGGGTCCCCAGTACATCCATGTAGCAGCCAGGTTGAGCTTTCACATGTGACATCATCAGAGCCTGCCAGCTCTTGTTTTCCATCCTTAGGAGGCTCCCTGTTCATGATGGTGGCCACTAAGTCCCTTCAGATCCACGTCCCTCTGCCCTCTGCCCTCTGCCGAGCCCTCACCTCCCCTTTGCAGAGCTCTCATGCTCAACACACAGGTGCCAGCCACCCTTTCCGTTCTTGGCCACCCTTTTCCCAGGCTCGTGGCCATGCATGCAATGAAGGGTCCACCTCCCCACCAGCCTTGGCAGGGTGCCCGGCCCAACTCAGCTCAGGATCTTTAGTGCTTAGAAACAAGAGGCTTTTGGGAAATTCTGGTCAAGTGAATGAGAGTGAATGTGAGAAATAAACTGGTCTCAAAGAGGCAGGCATAGACTCAGAAATGGCCAGAAACCCAGCCAGCCTCCCATTTCTGCCTTGATTTGCCTCACTGGAGGCATTTTCCTGGGGCACAGGGTTGATTTTCCTGGGGCCAGGACCCATTCCCACACAAACTAAACTGCCAGCTTCTGGCCTCTCCCATTGAAAGAACCACGCAGGCACCAACTCTGACACTTGCCTTCTAGGGAGAGAATGTGTTCTTCTTGGTGACCAATTTTCTGGTGACGCCAGAACAAGTTCAGGGCAGATGCCCAGAGGTAAGTTTGCCCAGGAGCCTCCCAGCGAGTCCCCAGTTCCTCTGCCAGCCCTGGGCAACCAGCCATGTCCTCCCCTCTTCTTCCCAGGTGACTGAGGGCTCAGTAGGTGTTACTGTATCCCAGGCCTTGGGCTAAAACTTTTTCATGAATCATTTCATTTAGTCTTCACAAGTACCCTGCCTGGTAGGAATTACTGCAACCCCCATTTAAGATTAGAAAACAGAGGCTCGGCGAGGTTGAGTTGCTTACCCAAGGCCTCCCAGCCTGTGGGTGACAGGACTCCAGGCCTCTGAGCAGCATGCTTCCAGAGCCTTCCACTGTCATTCCCTCTGGGATATCCAGGC